TTTGAGACAGGGTCTCCCTGTAGCCCCAGCTGGCCTGGATTCGCTGTGGAGACCAGGCTGGCCTCAAACTCACAGAAACCCACCTGCCTCTGCCTCCCGAGTGCTGAGCTTAAAGGCGTGCGCCACCACGCCTGGCTGTCTATTTTTTTTAATACAATTAATAACATCTTGTTACATAAAGTAATTCAGCCTGGAGCCTAAATTTATTATTTCTATGATGACTTTGCAAAATGAAGTTTAACATTGGGAATAATTTTTCTTTTTTTTCCCTTCCCTCCCTTCTTCCCTCCCTCCCTCCATCCCTATCTCCCTCTCCGTTCCCTCCTTTCTTCCTTCTTCCCTTCTTTCATTTTAGAGACATTATCTTGCTATATAGCCTTGACTGGCCTGATACTTGCTATGTAGTTTAGGCCTCAGACTTGCAGCAGTCCTGTCATAGCCTTTCAAGTGCTGGGTTACAGGCATGTACCACCATGCCTGGTTAATTTATATGTTTTTAATAACAGTTTAAATACTATGAATTTATTTTAAATGCTAGTGGGATGCAGTTCATCATAATAGATGTCCTTATTTTCTTTGTGAAGCTATTCATATATCTGAATAATGATCTTAATCCAAATCACCCAAATTGGAAGCTGCTTATATTCTGATTGAAGGAATGTGGTTGAAACACATGTAACAGAGGAATTACTTGTTTTACTCTATAAGCTTACTTTGTTTTATACTATAAATTATATGTTTCTTAACTAATATTTTTAAAATTGCATAAGCATGAAATATATTGTCTCCTTGTTCTAACATGGTAGATAAATATACTGAAGGAAGGGTTATAAACAAGGAAATGGTGACACAGCTAACTTAAGGGGGCCACAAGTTAAATGTTGAAGAGGAGGATGAAAGCATCCCTAACTCTTCATCCTACACCCAGCAGTGCCTTTTACCACATCTGAAGGCCTACAGTCACATCCTGTATAACTCAATGGGAGTATACTTACTGAATTATTTCCTTAGTGCAGCTGTTCTTGGTTAGTATATACTTCAGGAAAGTGAGCTTTTACTGTGTGTATTTACGAATATTTCATAGTCTAGAAATTAAGATATTAATTTCCTTTTTGCACAGAAATTACAACTATAATAATGGAAATAAAGTACTTATAATTTTACTATAATTTTAACTGTATTCTAACTGTATTCCTTTTTTTTATAAAATGTTTTTGAGATTTTCAAACACGAATACACCATACTTACATCATTTTCACCCCTCTCCCTCTTCCCCCTTCAGCTCCTCCTGTGTTCCCCCTCCACTCCTTCTCAATTTCTTGACCTCTTTTTATAATTTGGACACACACACAAACACACATACACACACAGAGGCACACACAACCTACTGAGTCCATTTAGTGTTGCACATATGTACATGTGTTTAGTGCTGACTTCTTGGGATTGGATAACTTATCAGAGGACTGGTCCCTGGAGAAAACTGATCCTCTCTCCCTTAGCAGCCATTGACTGCCTGTGGCTTGTCATCTAGGGGTGGGACATTTCAAAATTTCCCCATTCACATGGCAGGTTGACTAGTGTCATTATGCAGGTCTTGTTTTGATAACCATATTGAAATTTCAGGGGAACATCTCTACCATGTCTAGAAGATGCTACCTCACAATAGGCATCTTGGTGCTCTGGCTCCTATTGTGATGTTCCCTGAGCCTTAGGTGTAGGAGTTGTGTTGTAGATGTACCAGTTGGGGCTGGGCACCTCACCATTACTTATTCTCTGCATTTTGATTCATTATGGATCTCTGTAGTAGCCTCCATCTGCTACAGAAAGAAACTTCTTTGATGAGGGGTGAGAGCTACTCTTATCTGGCTGTCCCACACTCCTAACTAATTACATTCTGCCTAGTAACTCCATGTCTGCTCTACTTTCTTCCAGTCCTTGCCAAGAACCACATTTGCAGTATCTGAGTATTGCGCTTATATTTACTGGGGAATTTATTAAAGTTGAAATGTTCATTTGATGACAATTTTCTTTGAGACAGGGTCTCATTCTGTAGCCTAAGCTGGCCTGGGGCTCACTATATAGTCCAAACTGCCCTTAATTCTGTGGAGATCCTCCTGCTTCAGGTTGGTGTGTTATAAGTATGAACCCACCCAGGCTGGATGGAGATTTGCTTTTGAATCCCAGGCCAACTCCTGGCTACTCTTAGAGAATATTCTTATTAAGTACAGAAGAAGGAGGAACATTTGCTGAGCTGGTCCTCTCATTGGGAAGAGTTTCTGTGGATTATGGTGTCAGTCATCCTGATTATAGGTGTCACATCTGATAAAACTTTCCCTCCTTTCATGATTTGACATTTAAGAAATCATAGGTTTGTAGCTGGGGAGATGACTTGGTTGGTAAAGTGCTTGTCACATACAAGGAAAAGGACCTAAATTCTTCTCATTAGCACCCACATAGAAAAGCTGGGTGTGGTGGTGCCACTTGTAATCCTAGTTCTGGGGAGACAGGGACAGAAAGATCGCTGGGGCTTGCTAGCCAGCCAATATAACTGAGTTGGTGGACTCCAGATCCAGTGAGATACTGTCTCATTCTCAAAACAATATGGAGAGTAATAGAGATAGGCATCCTGTGTAAGTTTCTATGTATATTTCAGTCATCCTATGATAAGTATACATGGTATATTTTATATGAAAAAAATTATTTACCTTATGCATTGAGTCAGTTTCAACACTATTGGCTGTTGATGGGAAATGATGAACCATGAGTTTTTAAAATATATCTCTTTATCTTATTTCATTTTATGTATTTCAATAGCATACTCTCTAGAATGTCTGGAAAAATTTCATATTTTCTCAGTAAGATCCAAATATAGCATTGTCATTAGGTATGGTAGAGCATACCTATAATCCCAATGGAATATTCAAGCAGGAAGATCATGAGGCCAGCCTGGTTCATAGTGAGTTCCAGGCCATCCTGGGCTACATAGTAGGACCCTATCTTAAAAAACCAGCAAAACGGGGGTTGGAGAGATGAGTCAGTAATTAAGAGTACTTGCTGCTCTTCCAGAGGACCAGAGTTCAATTCCCAGCACCCACTTCAAGTGACTCACAACTGCCTGTGACTCCAGCTCCAGGGGATCCAACATCCTCTTCTGGTCTCCGCAGGCACCTGCGCATACATGTCATTCACACACATGCACACATAAATAAAAAATAAAAATAAATCTGTAAAAACATATAAATTGTAGCATGCCATGGCTCACAGTAAATTTTTAATATTTTTATTATTAGATCAGTTTGTATTTCACTATAAGGCTATTATTCTCCCCTTTGAAAAGGACACTTATTAAGGAGTAATGAATGACACACAGATTGATTTATTCATCCTTTTGTAAGACAGGGTCTTCTTGTGTAGCCCAGACTGGCCTTGAATTTATGATTATCCTTCCTCAGTATTTCTAATATGGGGATTATAGGCCTGTGTTTCTATCCCCAGCTTTTGATCCTCTTAACATTATCTTTTTAAAAAAGATATGTTAAAGTTTATCATTCTCTTTCTTGTTTTCTTCTTTTTCTTTACAGGAATACCAGTGTATTCAGTAGCATGGGGCCCTGATTCAGAAAAGGTTCTTTACACAGCAGGCAAACAGCTGATCATTAAACCTCTTCAACCAAATGCTAAAGTTTTACAGGTACATCTCAGGCCTTTGTAAATCAGGATCTAACTCACTGCTAAGCTGAGTGGTACTTAAAATCCCTTTCTTCTGATTAGTCTTTTTACAGTCTGAGATCTTTCAAGTGTGCAGTTTTATCAGCCTTTATTATAGAACAGGGAATATCTTTTAGTAAATCATACAGGTGTTTTGAGTTATTGAGTTGTCATATGATTTGGCACTACTGAGCATCTTTCAGTTTAACAGAGTCAATCTCAAATGTGTAGATTTGAGACAAAACAAAACAGAATTATAAAACTCAAGAGCTAGCTCAGATTTTGTTTTTAATCATCGTCATCTGTTCAAACACTTAAGCTTTCTTGTAGAGCCTAGTATTTTTAGAATAGTGGAGGAAATCAATACAAGATTTAGAACAAGGGACTGGAGAGATGGCTCAGTGGTTAAGCGCACTGGCTGTTCTTACAGAGGACCCTGGTTCAATTCCCAGCACCCACATGGTGGCTAACAATTGTTCATAACTCCAGTTCCAGGGGAACGCCCTCTTTTGACCTCTGTGGGCATTGCACAACATAGGTATACTTACATACGTGCAGGCAATACACTTATACACATAAATAAAAATAAATAAAATACTAAAAAAAGAGAACAAATTATATGCATATGTGTTTATGGATAACAGAGAATGTCCAGGATAGATGTTGAGCTTACGTTTACTTTTGTGCTTTTGTGTTCAAAAATGAGGAAGAGTTGTTAGGAATTAAGTCTTAAAGAATAGGTGGCAAAGTTGTACTAAACAAAGGGGGTAGAAAAAGTGATTTTTGAAAAATGTGAAGAAAGGAGCAAACAGAAGCACACAAAAGCAAGCAGAACAATAATGGCTGTTAGGACAGGCAGGGACAAATGAATGGAAAACTTTTAATGTATGTGGAAGATTTGGTTATTGTAGTCTGGTATTGAAAGGCATACTGACTTCTCTCATATGTCATAATGTAGTTTGGGTAAGAAAAATATGGGTTTTGGAGTTAGTCACCGAGGTCAGATACTCACTTCCTATATGTGACCACAAAAAGTTTTGAAATCTCCTGGCGTGTCAGCCTTCTCTTTGTCTCGGACACTAATGCCTACTTAATAGGATTGCTTCATGTGGGAAGCACTGGACATAGCGTAGTTGTTACTGATGTTATTATGTTGTTATGAATTAATATGCCCTCATTACCTTTTAATCAGCTAGGGAGGTCAGAAAAAGAAAGATAAAGAATTTGATGATGGCGATTGACAGGCTACGTCAGGTATGAAAGTGCTTTAAGAAACATCATTTTCAGTAGCTGGGTAGATGTAGTTTTGAGACAATAACGAGATAGAGAAAATTTTGATACCTTCTATATAGACCATGCTTTCTGTCTATCTGTCTGTCTGTCTATCTATTTCATATTGTCATACACTTACATTTTTACCACATGCTGAACACTGCTGGGAACTGTGGCCACAAATAATAAATAAAAGGTACAAGGCCTTATTTTTAGCAACTCAAAGAAGTGGGGCAAAGAAAAGCTGGGAAAGAGCAGTTGTTTTGACTACTTTCAGTCAAAGTCCTTCGAGACCAATACTTGTACTTTGAAAATCTGCGATAAAATTATATAGCAAAAGCAGGCAAGTTGAATCTTTTAGTCTATTCCTTTAGTTTATATTTATGTGAATTTAGACATCTGTAGTGAGGCTCATGAAACTTGGAAGCTTCTTGCATTATCATTGATCAATTAAAATATACTTTGGGGCTTCAGTGGAAACTTTAAGACAGGATAGAAGATAAAAGAAAAAGTACCCACTGTCAAAACTCAGCTGGAGTGTAAGAGAGCTAATGTATAATTAGTAACTTAATGCAAATTATCCATTCCTTTTGGGAATCTAAACTTGTAGCAATTCTCCAGGAGCATACGCACTTTCAAATATGGCTTGTCCACAAAAAAGGAATGCTTTATTCTTGTATGCAGAATGCCATTTAGAACTATAAATCTTACTTTCTTTAAGACAGTCTCCATACTCAGAATCTGGTTTTATTATGAGAAAACTTATATTTATGCATTCAGTATAAATATACTGCATGTATACTATGTGCCAAACTAAGTATAAGATAATAAAATAGAATAGAAGAGAGTTGGGTGTACTTCTGAAGTAGAGCATGTGAACAGCATGTGTGAGGCTCTGGGTTTGATCTCCGAGCCACACACACAAAACTAGTAAATGAACAAAAAAATTTTTATAAAAACTAGAAAGAAATAGAATATAGTTCTTGCTTTAAGGAACTTGTTCAAAGAATGTCTAATAAATAAATGATTGAAAAATTATCTGAATATATATAATATGTAAATTTGTGTGTAATATATAAGTTAATATCCTAAATTATAAAGGAGACATCAATAATAGTTTATTTGTTGCTTTTGAATATGCAAAAATTATTTTGTAGCTTTTGTGTGTTTATATGTATCTGTATATCTTTGTTGTCTTAGCTGTTTATTTCAGGATATTGGATTAACTTGGTAGTTAATTGCGAGAATTATAATATATAATCAAAACATTTGCTTTTGAAAGTATATGTTTTAATAATTTTGAATAAAACAAACTGAAAATTGTTACTTATTTTATGAGCTAACTGAATATTCTACATTAAGAGCAGTAGGTTGGAAAAAGTTTGAAGAAAAAGCCCTTAAAACCTGTCACTCTCTGATATGAAGTTAATTGACTTAGGCATTAATATATACATTCAAAGTCTTAAAGGAAATTACTTTTTGGGGCTGGAGAGATGGCTCAGTAGTTAAGAACACTGGCTGTTCTTGCAGAGGACCCAGGTTAAAAACTTCTTCGAGGGGCTGGAGAGATGACTCAGCAGTTAAGAGTACTGGCTACTCTTGCAGAAGACCCGGGTTTGAATTCCAGTACCCACATGGCAGCTAACAACTCTCCGTAACTGCAGTTCCAGGGGATCCTACAGCCTCTTCTTCCATTTTTATTTTATTTTCCTTTCATTTTGAGACAGGGTTTCACCAAGTTACCAAAGGTCACCATGTAGCCCAGGCAGGCCTTGAAATTGTGATCTTCCTGCCTCAGCCTCCTGAATATCTGGGATTATAGGCATATGCAACAAGGCTCTGCCTAGTTTACCTATATGTGAGCATTCATATATATATATATATAATATATATTTATCATGGAAAACCTCATTTCACTATATGGTAAATACAATAGAAGATTTGCAGTAATCCAGTTGTGAAACAGTTCCATAAAGGCAAAGAAACTAAAGCTTAGGAGGATGTGTGGAAAAAAATTAAGTGAGTACTAAAGATGTTCATGCAGTAGAAGTTGAAACAGGAGAAGACAATCTGGAGTGCAGCTCATTGGTAGACATACTCAGCAAGTGATGTCTTAGGACTAATTCTCGCTCCTCACCTCCCAAAAAAGAGGAAAGAGAATTTAGTAAACAAGCATGAAGACAGTATCATGTGACAGGACCAGCTGTAGAGAGGATATGGCAGGATTTGGAGTCAGCTGACATTTTAGACTATATAACATTTATTCCAGTTTATTACACAAATGTCAAGCTTGAAATAATTTAGCAGCAAGTAATTTTCCATCTGGAGTCTAGGCAACTACAACTTCACAGGATGTAAGCTGTAAAATGGATGTCATGGTGCTACATGCTTTCTTTGATATAAATTGAAATGAAAGAAGAAAATGAGGAATTGTGCAGTAGCTATGGAAAGAACAGATGACAAAGAAAAAAGAAAGGAAAGAGAAGAAGGAAGGAAGGAAGAAAGGTACTAGAAGAGGCAGCAAGCTGAGCGTGGTTGAGTGCTGCCATAGTCACGGCTACCCGGGAGGCCATGGCGGAGGATTGCTTGAGTGCAGTAGTTCAGGGCCAACCTGTGCAATGTAGTGCAACCCATCTCTTAAAAAAGGGGGGGGGGTGCAGAAAAAGATGAAGGATCTTTTTTATAGGAAAAAATTCACTTTCAAAGTTTTAAATATTTTTTTTCCCTCATAGTGGAAAGCTCATAATGGCATTATTTTAAAAGTAGATTGGAACTCAGTCAATGATCTTATTTTATCTGCTGGTGAAGACTGTAAGTATAAGGTATGTATCCTGGTTTTGTTTCTTGTTGTGATAAAACATCTGACAAAAGCAACTTTAAGAGAAAAAGAGTTTATCTGGCTTACAATTCCAAGTTACAGTTCATCATTTCAATGAAGTTGAGGCAGGAACTTGAAAGAACTTGAAGCAGCTAGTCAAATCCACAGTCAAGAGCAGAGAGAGTACATGCATGCTTGTGTTCAGCATCTTTCCACTCTTATCCATATCCCAATCCAGAGAATGATGTCACCTACTTCCATTAACATATCAAGACAATCTCCCCAGACATGCTCACAAGCCAACCTGTTCTAGACAGTCCCTCCTTGGAACTTTCTTCCCAGGTGATTCTAGATCTTGTTCAGTTGAAAATTAGAACTAACCACTTCAACCCCACCCCGTGTCAACTTGACATACAAGCACATCACTTTAAGTTGTAGCTTTCTATCCTTTGTTCTCATAGTGTTTAAAAATTCCAGTACTTATAAAGTCCAAAATCTCTTAACTGTGAGCACCTATAAAGTTAAAAGCAAGTTATATATTTCCAGCATATAATGCCACAAAGTAAACATTTTCATTTAAAAATGGAAGAATTGGGTAATATAGCAAGGCATGATGAAACAAAATGAAATGTAGCAGGGAAACGGCAAATCCTGTAGCTCCATATCTAGTAATCTGGGGGCTTGTAATGCAGTCTCCTGTGCTTCAGAGGGTTTGGGTAACCCCATCACTCCAGCCCTGCCACCTGTAGGACATAGATTCTTTCTTAGGCTCAGGTAGGGTCCACTTCGTCTGCAGTTCTCCTTGGCGGACTTCCCATGATCCTGGCATTGCCAGTATCCCAGAGTCCATTGTAAATGAGTCTTCACCGTCACAGCTTCACTCAGTGGCCTCGCAGGGCCTCCGACTCTGCCACACAGTGACTGACCTTACTCTACACTCCATGACTCTCTCAATCTTGCATCTTTTATGCCTTCAAAACTAGAATCAAGAAGTTGATGCTTGGTATTGCCAAGTTCTGCTGCCAGCTCAAAATATAACCCAGCCCCCGTGGACTACAGCTATATCAAATTCTGTGTGCTGATCCTGAGGAAGCACCTTCCCATTGTCCTAATGCAGTGCAGGAGGCATCTCTACCATGTTGTTGATTTGTCTGTCAGTTACAGCTGCTTCTTGGTTATCAGCCTTGAATGCTATCCTGTCCTGAAATTTCCTCAGCTAAACAATCAGTCCATCACCTTTAAACTCAACCCTTCTCAACCTCTCAGAATCAGACACAATACAGCCAAATTCTTGGGCAAAATGTCACACAAATTGACCCGTATCCAAGTTCCTAATAAACTCCTGGTTCTCCTCTGAAACTCTATGAGCAGGGCCTCCACTGTCTTAGTTTCTCTCAGGGTTGCTGTCTTCTGAGGTCCCACAAGAATGGCCCATTACACTCTTCCCACAGCATTCAATGGCTTTTCTAGAACAAAGTTCCAAAACCTTATACATTCCTTTTACAAAAGTTTCAAAAGCTTAAAATCCACATGGTCAAGTTTATAACAACAGCCCCATTCCTCATTACCAGTTTTTGTCCTTGTTTTGTTTCCTGTTGCTATGATAAAATTCCCTGACAAAAGCAACTTTAAGAGACAGAGGGTTTATTTGGCTTATGAATCCAGGTTATGGTCCATCATTGCAGGGAAGTCAAGACAGAAATTTGAAGCAGGTAATCAAATACACAGTCAAGAGCAGAGTGTATGCATGCATGCTTGTCTTCAGGTCATGTTCTCCAGTTTATACAGTCCAGGGCCCAAAGCCAGGGAATGGTGCCACCCACAGTGGGTGGGTCATCCCACATTAATTTACATAATCAAGACAATCCCCTCACAGACATGCCCACAAGCTTGCCTGATTTAGGCAATCTCTCAGTGAAATGTTCTTGCCAGATGTTTCTAAATATGTCAAATTGATAATGAAGCTAACCATCACAGTGATACTTAGATTACTACCTGATGAAACAAACTTTAAGTGAAGAGTACTTAGCATATAAGAACATTCTTTCAGACTTTTATCTGTAATAATTTAGCAAATTATTTTCTGTTTAAGTGCTATATTAAAGTTCTAATCATAAAACTCATTGACCCATAGAATTTGATTTAATAAGCAACAGTGTCAATTCAGTCTCTGGTTTTAGTGCCTCAGTTTAAATTGGCTCGTTTATGTTTAAAAAAAAAAAGAATCAGCTCTACTTGTTTCCTAAGCATTGGTCAGTTTAAGACCAAAATAATTTTGAATAAGATATTTTTTCATTTTTACAGTACTGAAGCTTTTCACATCACATGCTTGGCAGAGTTGGCTCTACTGTGGCCCATCCTCAGTAGTCAATAGAAATCTCATTTGGCAAAAAGCATTCTATGAAAATACTAAAAATAAGATTTTACTATTAAATTTAAAGCACTTAAATGAGTAGACTTAATGTTTAATCCAAGGCTTAGTAAAATCTGAAAATGATAATGTTATAAAGTGTTTTCTTTCTGAGACATGTAGATTTCAAGGAATACTGCTTTTTCATCCTTGTTTAGTTGCTAATATTATAAGATTATGATTTCTTAATCTTCATTTGATACCTTATTGGAGAACAAACTTTTTTTGTCACAGTGTAGTGATTGTTATAAAACATTAAAAACATGTTAAAGCTGTAAAGAAATGCTTCTTCTAAAAAAATAATGATAATAAAATATTTAAAAATTTTTTGATTTTATAGGTTTGGGATAGTTATGGCCGCCTGCTGTACAACTCACAGCCTCACGAACACCCAATTACCTCAGTTGCCTGGGCGCCAGATGGAGAGTTATTTGCTGTTGGATCATTTCATACTTTACGCTTGTGTGATAAAACTGGGGTAAGTTATAGTGGTGAGCAATCACAGATGTCTGTCATAAATGTGGTAATGTACCACACACAGGATTCTCAGGCTTTAAAAAATGTTTTCAATGAACACATTTGATTTGTCTTAGTAAGATTGTTCAATCAATTCCAGATTTATGAAATCAAACAGTTTAAAAATGAAGAATGGATGTACTTTCTGCTATTTCTGGAAATACTTGCTTTGAGCATGACCGAAGTATGGTAAAGTAGTTTTAACTGTTAAACTTTAAATGTCCACCTAGTATGGAGAGTATAGCTTTAAATTTGTTTTTGGTATCAATATGTTTCATATACAATCTTAATTGCATAGTTTTTGTAAGGGAATACTAGTAAGTTTTTAAAATGTTCATTTTAAAACCAAAGGATGTATTTTTCTTTCTTAAGGATTCATATTTAGGGAACTGGAGAGTTGGCCCTGTTGGTAAAGTACTTGCTGGGCAGCAGTATGAGGATGTGAGTTCAGATCCTTTGCACCAGTAAAAGCCACACACAGTAGGTACTGCTCTCCAGTTCTGCAGAGCAGAGACAGATGGGTCCCTGGGACTCATTAGGTAGTCAGCCTAGCCGAATAGGTAAGCTCCAGGGTCAGTGACAGACCCTGTTTCAAAACATGTGGAGAGTAATAGAAAAAGGAAGAAGACACTTGATGTCTGGCCTCCACACACATGCACACAAGCATGCATATAAACCCACATGCATATATACACACTTCCACACAAACGTATACATAACACATACACACAGAATTCCTATTTGAATACTGTGTGAGGGTTTTTTTCCTTTACATAGTATGCCCTCCTTCATGCAAATTCTGTTCAGAACAGAATTTTGTTTAGGCAAACAGCCAAGCTCGCCACATTTACCAATTGTTCTTGAAGAATAAGGTTTTCTACCAAGGTGCCACAAAGTAGTAGCATTATTTGAAAGAGTCTGAGTTGTTATGTTAGCTTTCTGTCACTATAACAGAATGGCTGAGGAAATGAACTTATAGAGAGAAAAGATCTATTCTGCCTCAATTTTGGAGGTTCAAGTTCATGATCCTTTGTTCCCATGCCTTTGGGTCTGTGGGAAGGTAGCATAGTGTGGCAGAGCGAAACCACCTACGTCATCAGCCAGGAAGTGAAAGAAAGAGGACAGGCAAGGGTCCCATAACCCCCATGAAGGGATGTGTCCAGGGGCCCAAAGACTTCCTTCCATAGCATGCTACCTTCTATGGGTTATACTGCATCCTAAAGTGCTATCCTGAAGACTGTCCAAGCCTTTAACAGATGGGCCTGTGGAGGGCATTTGAAATCTAAACTGTAGCAATGGAGTGGTTCCACACTATTCTTAAGGAAAGGAAATCTCACAATTTTTTAATGGCTTCTCTAAGTGCAAAGTTAGGTAGTTAGAATTGTAGAACTTTGTAAATGGCCTAGTAACTTTTTTGGTTACTTGTTTTCCATTTCATAAAATTTTAGCCCTTTGCTTGGCTTAAGAAGCTTTGCAATCTGGTATAAAATCCATTCAACCTCTTCCTTTACAGTTCCTTAATGTATATGCTTCTGGAAATCAGGTTGAGCACTGGCTCGTGAGCCTTTCCTGCCGTTTACATCCTTTTTCCCCTTTCTAGTTTTTTAATTCTTTTGTTTTTGTGAGATGGTCCTACTATAGAGCTCAAACTGGCCTTAAACTTATGATCCTCCTGCTTCTGCCTCCTGAATCCTGGGATCATAGGCATGTACTACCATGTTCAGCTTCATTTTTCTCTTTTCATGGAACAGCCTCCTCTCCATCTTTTAAAACAATATTTTATTATTTTTATTTTATGTATATTCATGTATTACCTGCATGTGCATGCAGATACATGCACCCATGTTTTGCAATGCCTATAGAAGCCAGAAGAGGGCATTAGATTCTCCTGGAGCTGGAGTTATGGATAGTTGTTAGCTGCCATGTGGGTGCTGGGAATCAAACCTGGGTTCTATGCAAGAGCAGCCAGTGCTCTTAACCGCTGAGCATCTCTCTAGACTCTCATCTCCATCTTACACATACTGAACTCTACACATTCTTTGAGGTCTGTCTCATAATTAATTTCCTTTTATCATGCCTTTCATAAGCAACCTAAAATTCATTTAAAATGATTTTTGAAATCGATTTTTCTAATTTTTTCCTCACCTAGATCTTTTCTCAGTTATAACAGTGTATTAGGTTACCTCATCATTACGAACCTTTTTGTTGGGGCTGGAGAGATGGATCAGTGGTTAAGAGCATTGGCTGCTCTTGAAGAGGACCTGGGTTTGATTTCCAGCACCCACATGACGGCTAACAACTGTCTGTAACTCCAGTTTCAGGGGATCCAACGCCCTCTTATGACCTCTGCAGGCATTGCACGACACAGGTGCACTTTCATGCATGCAAGCAATACACTCATACATGTAAAATAAAGTAAGTTTAAAAAAAAGAACATTTTTATTTTATTTTAATTTCAGATGTGAGGACCTTTTACCTCAAGCTATTATAAATGGTTGTATATAAAAATGTCTCTTTTTTTATATAATTATTATGCTTTTATATTGTATTTTAGTCTTAGGCATATTACTTTAGATTCTATAGTATATAGAATTCTATAGCTTAATACTACCTATATAATACAATATTTAGTAATTTAATAAATCAATTTGTGCTTAATTATTTTAATGTGCCGTTTTGATTTAAATATTTTTCAAAATTGAATTGAGTTATATGAAGAAGTGAATTCAAGATTCACCTCATTAAGCGCCATATCCTTTTTTAAAAAAATTATTTATTTTTTTTTATGTGTATGAGTGTTTTGCCTACATGAATATAAGCGGATCTATGTGTGCAGTATCCGTGGAGGCCAGAAGAGGGTGTCAGATCCTCTGGAACTGGAGTTACAGAAAGTTATTAGTTATCATGAGGGTCCTGGGAACTAAACCCAGATCCTCTACAAGAGCAACCAGTGCTTTTAACCAATGAACCCTCTCTTCAGCCCCTATGTCACTTTTTAAATTGTCAATAATTTTGGAAAATTAAACCGAATGCACTGAATAATAATTTTTTAGATATTTGAGACTAGCACTTTAAATATGTATTATTTTATTTAATTAGCATTAACTGTCTACTAACCATCAGACAGTGTTCTAGAAACTGGACTCTAAATATTAAAAAATATATAAGACTTTCATTAAAGTTGCTGACAGTCTATTGGAGAATCAAAGTATAAGACTCACACAGGGCAGTGTGATAAGTGATATAGAGGAAGCTTGTTAAAACACTGTGTAGGTGTAAGAGAGCTTGGCTTTCTCTGTGGAGTGTTGATTGGAGAGCTGAAGTTTGATGAATTAGTAGTTCTCCAAGGAGACAAGGTTAAAGGAAGAGTTGAGGCAGTAGGAAGCTCTTGTGCCTCAAAATGTGAGAGTGCTTTTGTTTGTTTGTTTTTTGTCTCTGTATGTACAGTGCCCTTAAGATTATCATGGGATGTTATCAGGAGTTGATACAGAAAAGATATTCTCCAACAAGCCTGTGTTGGGTGTGTTAGAGTATAAATTTCAGCTGATTCGTTTCTGTGGAGTCTGCTCAGGGATTGCTGCAGAGTGAAGAGATGAAGAGATTGAGCTCATGATCTTCCTCTCCATCCGCATTCAGAGAAGCTCTACACTGATCTCTTTTACTATATGAACATCTGGTAGAAGATTTCTTTTGAAAAACTGAAATTGGAAAACCAGAATACTATGCTAGTCAGAACAGGAACTGTGATATGGGAAAGGAAGTAAGACAGACAAAGACAACCTACCAGGGGCCACATCCTTAAAGAAAATTGGCAAGGGGTAGCAGGTGGAGCAGGCCATAGACTGACTGAGAAAAACTAGGAAAGTCAGATATGCCTTTAATCACAGCAACATGGGAAGCAGAGTCAGGCAGATCTCTATTAGTTAGTTGGAGCCTGGTCAGCCTGGTCTACATAGTGAATCCCAGGCCATCCAGGACGATCTCAACAACCCCCCACCCCCCGCCAGAAATCCCACACCCAAACCAAAACCTAGGAAGGTGAAGGGAGGAAGATAAATGAAAGCATAAAGGCTTTGACATGGTCTCACATGTAACTGAGGAATCCAGTGTACAGAATACAAGATCAGGGTCAGATACATGTGAAAAGACCAAGGAAGATGTTAAGCTTATGTCACTGGCAAATCTTTGGCAATGCACAAACCAAAGGTGAAGGCTAAAGCAAAACTGCAGGGGCCACGGCTAGGGTTAAAGGGTTTTCTTTTTGGCTGTGTCAAGTCATTGGCTAACTGTTGAGTAACAATGGGGATGATGAGGAAGAGGAAAATGGACATTGGCAAAACAGTCTGGAAAAGTCTCTAAATGGACACATGAGTACTGCTTGCATCAGACAGCAACTCAAACTGGGAGGTGGGGGAGTCTGATTTCAAGAGTTGCCACAAAATGTAATTTAAAATACATGGTTTTCAAAAGAAAAAAAATACTAAAAAACAGTGGCACGTTCATAGGGGGAAAAATTGACGAAAACTATCACTGATGATGACCACCATTGGATCTGTTAGACAAAGACTATATGCTCACAAAAATTAAAGGAAAACGAGAATAAGGTCTGAATAAATCAATAGAGAGATTATTTTAAAAGGAACCTAGTAGAAAATCCATAACTAAAAATATCAGGAAGACATAAAAGAAAATTTCCAAAATACTATTTTCAATAACAAGTATCATGCATCTGAAAATTCACAAAGCAAGGCCATTTTCCACTTACAGAAAATGTGAAAATGAGGGGCTGGAGAGATGGCTCAGCCATTAAGAGCACTGGCTGCTCTTACACCTCTGGAAGAGGGCCTCAGTTTCCAACACCCATATCTGGCAGCTCACAGCCACCTGTAACTCCAGTTACAGGGGACTCAGTGCCCTCTTCTGGCCTCCACAGGCACCTGCACACATGTGATACACACATGT